GGAACTTTCTCGACGAGCTTCTAAAGAAAAAAAAGCAAAAAAAAGAAAAAAAAACTTGTTTTCCTCTTGGCCGCCTGACAAGGATTCAGCCGCAGCACTTTCAAGTCAACGTACGTAGCCTTAACTCTGTCACATACGTGGACAGCATTGTCTAAACCAAATGCTTTCTTTCTGCGCGTGGCTTTTCATCGTGACACGCCTGTCGTTCATAATTTTCTGCTTGCGTGTGGAAAACCAAAGCCAAATGACGAGAAAGACTTGGCAGAGCGCACGCTTCGCGACTCGCGCCGACACTTGCGAAGCGCGAGATTTCTCGGAGGTGGCGTGCGTTACGGCGTTTCCCGTAGATACTCTGCTCTACAATTTAGCGAATGACCGGAGGTATGTAATGACGCAAGCAGGACAGCTCAATTTAGCAATCCGCGTGCGTTCGCAACTCCTTTCGAGCCTTGACTTTTCAATGGAAAAGTAAGGCAGGCCATTATACCGCGCGGAATAATTACTCAAGCCGAATCGCGCGGCGGCGTACGCGACAACCAAAGAAGCTCTCTAGCAGGCAGGAGATAGATGATCTGGCGAACGCGTTAACATTGAGGTCTACCGTCGAAGCACAGCCAGCTCCCGAAACGGAAAGGCAGCAACATCCGGAAGTGAGATGATAAACAAACGAATGAGAGAAAGGAAATCGATCGGGCGAATCTCGAGGCCCTTGCAGCCGTTATAGAGGCACAGCATGAGAGAGATAAAGCGAGGGAGAGAGAGAGAGAGAGCTGAGTGGTTTGAGATCCTCGGCAATGATTATGCGAAGCTGCTCTCTCAAACGGCCCGCTGAGGAATTCGCGGGTAGGTATATAGGCGCAGTGACGCTTCGCTGTAAGTACAAGCTCGCTTGTAGATAGCTATCGTTGTTCTCGTATATATGCCTACGCGAGAGCGAGGGAGAGAGGTGCAAAAGTAGCCGCTCGCGAGCGGGAGAAGCGATGGACGGGTCCCGATTCCGATTTGCACGCTTAGCTCACTGACGGGGTTGGGAAACCGCGTGAACGAGCGCCTCCGCGCTCAGTCATCGGCGCACAATGCCGCTACTTTCGTCTGCGCGTATCGATGTTCGGATTTTCCATAGCGGTCGATCCCCGCTTCGACTGGTTCTCTGTTGTGTGGTGAGCTTTGACATTTATTTCAATGTATTCGTGTGTATGCCGATCACGTCTTATCTACCTCGTCAGTATGTTTGTATAGATAAAGGAACAAAAAGAGCCACGATTCGGCGATAGCTCGCGAGGTATATATACCATCGGCAGCCGTGAAGCTGATAGCAGTTCTAATTCTCGCTTGACTAATGCCTATTTTACCTGCTTCCACATCTTTCCATCTTCAAAAACAGCTTAATATTGCAATTTTCTTCCAATTGTTTTTATGCCTTTGTTAATACTAAAATGCTTTGCTCGAAAAAAAAAATACTTGATTGATTAAAAGTTAATGTCAATCTAATCGACGGTGAATCAGCAAAATTTATCGATAAGTTTGCAGAGATAAAAGGAAGCTTGACCCTTGTTGGCAAATGTCACATTAAGAGATTTTTTTTCATCAAAGTAATTGCAGTCGTAAAGTATTCATAGAAACCCGAATGCGCGTTGATTTTAAAACCCCTTTGGCGAGTAAGAAAAAAATTGACATAAAACTGGTTGATTGACGCAAAGTGTGGAATAAATCACTTGTATAAATCACACCTCGTACGTGGCTTCGTTGTACTTCAGCATCTGAAAGTAATATCTTCTCGATTTACTCGTCATGCTGATGTATCAACGTACAAATTACAACATTGATACTGAGTACGAAGATGAAAATTAGAGCTTTCTTGAACATTAACATCCCTTTCAACGAGTTGAAGTGAAATGGATTAATTAATTTGGAACTCAAGTTGTAATTAAGCATTGTTAAACGTTCGAATTCCTCACAATAATTTTGAATCAGTTCAAGTTACTTTAATGAAAATCAATGAGTTCTTCATAAATTGGGTTATTGCGTTATTGGAATCGATGAAATTCTCCACAAATGGTAGAAACAATAACATTTAGAATTGTACGATGAAAGGCTGATAAGCTTAGGTTGATGAATAAAGGAATTGCTGGACAAAAAACAAATGATATCGATTGAAATCCATTAACGAAAAGTCAGTAGACTGATCCAAGCGCAAGAATCTACTGTCGACGTATGTACACGCAGACAGGAGCCGAGCGCACACGTGTTTCCTGCAGTGAGCGCGAGAAAGTATAGGAGAGTGCAGAACGGAACACGACCTTCCGAGGGCGCCATGTATAGCACAGAGCTCCGCCTTCACTGAGATGTGTCGTGCGCGCGAAGCTGACAAAAAACAATGGCTCCCGCGCGACGCTGCACGGAATCTCGTCTCCGGAATCGCGAGAAACGCGACAGAGTTTTTCGTTTATCGCGCCGCCGACGACTGACGTAACGCTTTAATTACCACGCCGGCGCTGCTGTTATTATTACGTGCGTTGTTGCCTCTGCTGATGACTTTGTAATTTCTGCTGGACGAGCGCTTTTCTGTCTGTATCGTTACGACCTCTCTGGTTGATGGGAATCAAAGTACAAAGTTGTGCTCTACCTCTTGTCTCACAGACCATCAATTACTTTGCTTGACAATCTGCCGTTATTTAAAAAAGCGAATTGCGTGCCACGATGGGCCGTTACGTTCCTATGCTCGGCATTCCGCAAGAGAATCCACGAAAACAAATTCGTGAATTCCTGCTTTCCAAATTCATAGCCAACTCTTTTATAGCTTTGGCAATCAAAGTCAATTAGAGACGAAACCAAGCGAAGAAGAAAAAGTTGAAGCGAGAAGGAGCATAATCTCGTTTGAAGAAGTATCTGCCTTCGGAATGATTTTTCGGGGTACATATACAAAAGGAAAGGGAGCAAAGCCGGTTGTAGGCACACGAACACCTTTAAACGTATATCCGTGTTGAGCAGGCTACGCACATGTGTGTGCGTGCGCGTGTGTGCGAGCGTGGCTCGATGCTGCGTGCATGCGAGATGCGTGGAAGAGGATCTTTGCCGTCCTTAATTTATGTCGGCGGAGAATGCATGTGGTTTTCGCGATATATCCGAGTTAGTTCGCTACAAGGCAAAATCGCAGATATAAGTAGAAGGAAGAACGACGTGACTCGTTTTTGACACTGCGACTTTCTCTCTCTCTCTCTCTCTCTCTCTCTCTCTCTCTCTCTCTCTCTCTCTCTCTCTCTCTCTCTCTCTCTCTCTCTCTCTCTCTCCCTCCCTCTTTCGTCTTCCTTTGGAAATTATTGTGAACGCGCAAGGAGCAGAATGAACCCTAATTTTCCGTTCTAGTTAATGACTTTATGCTAGATTTAGTAAATTGTCTTATCGAAAAGTATTTTGTAATTTATAAAGATTTTCGTGCTACTATTAGTATGTCTTAATTTTTTTATTTTGAATTTATTTTCCATAGTTGTTAATCAAGCTCGAACAAACATTTTCGACATAACGATATTAAGTTTCCAAATCTCTAGACGCACTTTGCTAAGCACTTTGAAAAATATATACTTAAAAGTGGCAGACATATGCAAATCTTTCATGCTCGTCAAAATTTCCAGCTTTTACAATGCCAAATACCAGTTTAACCTATAACTTATTCAGCATTATATGTCATTCGTGAGATTCAAAAATGTCTAGCAAATCATTTTTTTCATCTTCTTTTATTCATATAATGCTAAGGTTTTGTTGTTGCAACATGAATTCAATACATTTTTTAATTACCGATGTACAGTGTCTGCGAGTACATTAATAACAGTATTGTTTATTTATTAATCCAATTATAAATTAACGTTCTGTTTGAAAAATATAACGGAATCACTGTGACAATTGTTGTGTGTTTCGATTTAGCCACGTTATACGTTTGCATTATTTTTCCGATGTGTTAAAAAAAGATGAACATCGGTATGTTAATGATAATGGCATTGTTTGGAGCCGCGATATGAAAGCCCTCAATCTTATCTTTAAATTTATCTGTAACATCTATTGACTTCTATTATCAAATAATACTATTACAGCAAAAGTTTTTATGCCACAATTGCCTTAAGGAAAAATCGGAATAATTTATTTTGTATGATAGAGGATTAACGATTACAGTGAGCGAATGATACTGACGTAAAGCTTATCTCTACCTAAATTTGTATAGTAGCAGAAATGATACGAATTCACTATTGAAATGTTCTTTTTTGCTCTTCAGGATTAAATCTTCTCACAAAATATATTCTTTGAGACTTGGTTGATCGTTAAGAAAACCTCCAGCTACACAAACGCATAAATCTTATTTCTAATTCGAGTATTTATTCATGTTATCAGGATAATCGCTTCGAAATAAGCAGGTGTTTTGTACGCGAATATCAAAGCGTTTATTCCGTTATTTTCGTCTAAAATTGTGTGGAACCGATGTTATAAAGATTTTTCAACGTAATTTCTTCATCGCTAAGCTAATATTGTTTTAAATAAACGAAAGTACCAGTCAATATTGGAAACATTATTTGAAAATATCAGATCGACATTGAATATACTCTACTGCAGTAACAGATTATGATTGTTATTGAAATGTCGTAAATACATTGTAAATCACTTTTAAGTGACTTTGAGGTAAACAACTGTAAGGAATTTCGCAGAACGTCAATGTTTATCTTTATCGAAATCTCGAAATGCCCGTTGCTCTGAAATCGACCATCAATTAAGTCATAAGCCAGAATAACCTGAACTCCGAAAGAGAAAAGGAAGTGCAAAACTTGGAAAGGCCAAAAAAAATAGCACCCTGCTAGCACTCATCCATCTGCGTAATTATCCTTCGCGCACGCACGCACAATAAAAGGAAATCAAAGTTTTTCCTCGGTCATACTGTACATCCGCATCATAAAGTCTCGGGTACATGTATATACCGCGATACGCTATGTATCGAGAATAAATCATGAACTTACTTTGTTTTGAAGGGCATCGATGAGTACGTAACAAAGTAGCGTGATTTCTTCCTCGTCGGTACCAAGCGCGTTACCCTGCAAACCGGCAGTGGCCACGTAAAGGGCCACGAGGTGAGTCGGTCCCATGGTTCCGGCGGTCACCTGCATCTCGACGGCGGGACGAAGAGGAGAGGGAGCGCAAGGCACAACGCAGCTCTTCGTGTGTACCGCGGCAACAACAACTTGTTGGAACAGCACGCGCGTGGGAACAAACACTTGTCACACCTGTGCACTGCAGCAGCCAAGCATTTTGTCAGAATGAGAGCCTGAGAGCGAGCGCCGCGACGTCTGCTGCCTCGAGGCGACAATCTCCCGTGCGTATTGAGAAGCGACTCAGGTGAGTCGGCAGGTAACGGCCGTCGACGATTTTGAGGTTATGATCATCACGCACATACACGGGGTGAGCTGCCGTTTTGTTCCTTCCGTAGTGTAATTCGTGTACAGTTCGTTGCTCGATTGCTGTCACACTCGCGCGCGCCTCGATCACGGATACGAATAACAGACAGACCGACTAAGAGAGACAGTCGATACTTGGGAGAGCTACCTGTTACTTGTAGCGTTAGTCTCTCTTGCGAAAAGTCGAAGCGACGGTAGCGGAAGAGCGAGCAAGACAGAAAAAGAGAAAGATAGAGAGTTAGCGAGACCGGCGCGTCGGTGCTCACCTGGCGACTGCGCAGCGCCGACTGTCTGTGTCCACGACGGCGCTCTCTCCTTCCCGAGAGCTCTTTCTCGCTCTCTCTCTCGCTCACACACCTTTTACCTGACGGCGCTCTCTCGCTCCCTCTACCTGCACGGCTACACTGCCGCACACGCTAAAATGGTTGCCGCTGCTGTTGCTGTATATCTACAAGAGTTCTACGTCCTCGTGCCTACACTCGAAAGCTCCCCAACAGGCCAATTCTCTCTGTCGTTCGCTCACTCTGGTAGAGACAACGTTGGAGAGAGAGAGAGAGAGAGAGAGCGAGAGGGGGGGACTGGTTAAGAGCGGAGCTTATGTTGGCGCTCCGATTTTTGGAATACGTAGCGAGGTCGTCGGCTTCGGTGGAAACATGCCGTGTGCGCACGAAGAGAGAGTATGTATACAGATCCGAAGAAGGGAAAGGCTCGCTGTGCTGTCCGCGCGCGCGCGAGACACTGTCCGTCGTCGATATGCCGACAAGGTGCCAGCGCCATAAGCTGTTAGCTCTGCTCAATTCCTGACTCATCCTTATTACATAGCTGATCCTTACTCGTCAGCTTTCCACGCTTGCGCCTGTTCTCGTTTACTCGCGGATTCGCACTTGTAGATCAATGTAATTGTTGCAGATATTTGCCAAGGCAGTTGTCGGTGAGTAGCAGCGAATATTATTTAGATAACGCTATCGATAGATTTCCATGCGCGCAAGCATAAGTGTATAACCAATGCTTCCTCCGCCTCTTCGTTTTCGAGGCAGTACAATTCGCACCTGACACACACATCGAATTTATTGATTCTCCAATAACGCTGCCCCTCGTTCAACTAATACACAAAAGAACTAGCTTTTCTGTTTGATAGCGTGGCTGTGTTGTTAGTTTCGCGATCGTTGTGACGGAACATTTTGACCTTTAGTTCGACATTGCGTTAAGACGAAAAAAGTTCAAGTCGGAAACATCAGAGCAATGAGCGAAACCTAACGATATGGTTGTACGCAAATTAACAAACATATAAGGTACATTCGCTATTAAATAATTGATGCGAGCTTGCAGTGAACAAATAAACGCACGTGGTCATAAGCACTGGCTGTTTCTCTCTTCTTGGTTGGCGCATGCATAAGCGTGCATCTCATTCTCGATCCGTCTCGGAGCACACACACACACGAGCAGGGGAATCCGGCTGTTTTTCCATCTTGATCGGACCTCTGTTTCTGTCTCTCTCTCTCTCTCTCTCTCTCTCTCTCTCTCTGTATGGTGCGCGCACACATGCAGACACAACGAGGGGGGCAATTTCCTCGACGCGTTCCTTAGCTTTCTCTTTCTCGCGCGCAGTCGAGGCAGCAGCAACGGTCTCGCTCTACCTGTTCCTCATCCTGTCGTCGCCGCTACAAGGCTCACGTGTAAATGTAGCATGAGGGGGCGCGCACTGCCTTGGCTTTTTTTCGTGGTTCCAGGCAGGTAGGCATTTTTCTGAGGTCACAACGGGGATATCCCCTAACGCTCTTCCACTAGTGGTCTTCTGTGGCTTTTCTCTCTCGTCGCTAAAAGACTAATTTGTACTTAGGGTTAGCTCGTTAGCGAAACCGTAAAATACATATAAATGGCAAGCATTAAAGCGTTAATCTTTAAGTAACCAAGTTCTAAACGGCTATCTATATTTAAAAGGGATTTCACCTTGATATTTTTAACGATAAGCTGTCTTGGCACGTCGTTGAGTTGGCTATTATATAGGTACAGGCGCACTTTCATTAGTTTCTTTTGCACAATACCAAAAGCGCCGGCAGCTTCGCTCTCGATGAGAACGCGCAACCCTGCGTTATATGAACGACGAGAATTTATTGGGACGTTAACCTCTGTAGACGTAGTCTGCCGCCGCGGCCTAGAGATAGCGAAGATTATTTATTTTCGATCTCTGATTTTTACGTCGCTCTTTTTTCGCGTCTTCCTCTCCTCTTCTGCTTCTACTTCTTTTACTTGGCATGTTTGGTCTCTTAAAGTATTAAGCGGTTTATGCTTCGAAATATCGATAATCGCCAGTTTCGTATATTATGAGAGGATGCCAAGGACCTTTCTCGAAGTCAAAATTGAGTCATCAGTTCGTTTGTACGTTTTGATCGAATATCGACAAGAAAATTTTCCTCGGAGAAATATTTACTCTGAGGGTCGAGGTGAGATATTAAAGTTCACTGTCTTTTCTATGCGCGCGGTATCCTCTGCACATTCATCTTCCTGACACTTCATGGATTTCACAAAATATTTATGCTTATTTATTGTGCTGTGATGATCGCAAGTGCAGCGCATCATACATTTGAAATTGTTTGAAAGTCATCTAGAGAAATGCGTACAAGTGTGCGCAAAATTATTTGGACGAGAAAACCCGCGTAAATCACTCTCCAACGAGTATTGTCCACTACTATTCGCGTCTAGTTTGTGCCTACAGCGTTAATCGATAACAAACGACATTGTGTTGCGAGCGATAACGATTATTCAGAAACGTCATAGAACGACTACAAAAAAAAGAAAAAGAAAGAATGAAAAGACGATCCGTCATGAGTGAAGCTGACTCGAAAATCTAGAAGCGTTTTGCATGAAGAGCGTGTCGCACTTTTTTTCAGTCAGCTCTCCTATACATTACTGTCAGTGTAGTCTGCCACGTGTCCGTTTTGCAAGGCGCGCGCGCGCGCGCGAAATGCTCATGCCGTTCTTTGGAAATGAAGGAGGCGCGTGCGTAACCTCGAGGATTATACATCCGCGCTAATTGTCAATTAAATCTAATTAGCCGGCGTCTCTGCTATTTTAGCGAGCATTTAATGAACAGACGCTATCTATGCGCGCGCTGAAAGCAGCGCGGAAAAGAGCGCGAGCAATCATTACAATGTTTACCGCGCAATTTCTTTTCTTCCCGCTGGCGAATCTACAACTCTATACCTTCAATTTCTGAGAGCTGATGGATTATTCATGTGTCAGCTGATGTACAGATGGGCGCGCATCGGCAACGATGATCGTCCGAACTGACGAAAATTATATTTACCGATACGAAATTGAAAAAGGAAACGAAAAAAAAAGAAAAAAAAGAAAAAAGAAATAAAACGGAAAAGTTAACGTTGCAAAATTCGCAATGCCTCTCATCGATAATTACGATTTCAATCGTGAGCGTCGCCGCACGGCGCACCGCGGCAACCGACAGGCCGAAACTTTCGATATTGCATGCGCACCGCGGGCACAAGCCACTATGCCGACCGTCCGCATATTTTCTCATTATGCGAACATTGCGCAACTTCCAAGCACTGAAACACACATGCACGAGTGGGGATCCCCCGAGCAATGTCAGAGACCGGTTTTTCTCACTCGGACGCGTATTAGCCGTCGCTTGGCATACGTTATGAATATATAATTCCATTTCGGCGATTGGCACTTGCGGCTTCAATGTGTACAGAGAGATTGATCAGCAGTCAAATTGCGAGCTGTAACGTCTTGATTTTTTTGCCAGTCGGGTTCACCGGTGTCTATAACGAAAAAGTTCTTTTTTTTTTCTTTTGCGTTGTTGATGATGGAATGAGTTATTGCGTATGTCGGTCGATCCGTGAGAAAACTTGCGATGCGATTCATCCAGCCCGCGTAAGGCGTTCGGATACGTTTACTAATTGATACTCCTTTTGTGTACTTTTAATCGCTTTTAAGTTTCGACACGTGTGTGCAATAACATTTGTTTGATTGATAATGCGGCATCGGGTATTCGAATGCATATTATACGTGAAAAGTCGTGGAACGAGGAAAGAAAAAGAAAGAGGGATCGAGCTGCATAATGTGTAAAAGTGGACTTTCAAGTGCGTCATCCTCATCGTCGAAACGAGCCAAAGTGGCGGGCAATAAAAGCCCAATAAACATCTCTCTCTCTCTCTCTTGGCGAAACCTGGGCGCGCTTTCACTGCGGCAGGCAAAATCTGTCCGCCGCGCGTCTCAGCCAGTTGAGTCACGTGCTCGCATCGAGCCATAAACGCGCGAATACCGTCGCGCATAAAACGAGCACCTGCAGCGCCGCGAACCTCATTGTGTACATACGCTACCCAGAAAAAGCTCGTTGCGCCAATTGACTTTACGCAACATAAAGTGGCCGTAACGTCGAACCCTCTTTTTCTCTTTTTTTTCCTTGTAATTAATAAGCGATTACTCGTCGCTGCGTACGAAAGTACGATGCACTTTGCTCGCGAGCATATCCTCCTCTGCGCGCCAAGGTATATATATATATGCTCGTTTGTTCCGCGCGACGGACTTGGCGAACGAACATTTTCTTTTCTTTCTTTTGCTTCTTTTTTTTTTTTTTTTTTTTTTTAACTTAGGCACGCGCGCTCGGTCGGTCGTGTGCGTGTACCGTTATAGCGGGCGTATAATACCGCTTTTCGCTGGCGCACTGTCTTTTCCGGAATGGTCGTTGCGCGCAAGATACAAGCATTCGTCGCCGCGCGCAACTGTTAATGCATCCTCCGGAGCCTCGCCACTTGTTTCTACTCGCGACGGAAACGCACCTCTGCGCGCGCATGCGAAGATTCGATGTACGGTGGCGTATGCCATGCTCGTTAAATCATACAACTTCGCACTTGCGCTTTGCTGCGCGCTGATGATGCTCACTATTTGTCAATTCATTGCCATTCGTACCTGCTTGCTTTCTTTCTTTTCTGTTTTGAAGTTGCGCTGTTATGTTCGATTTGCATGTTAAGTAATCGCTTCAAGAGACAGAGAGTCTTTTTTTAGCGTTATTGTAACGAAAAAAACGAAAGGCAAGCAAGATTGAGTTTTAAGTCGACCGGTGTATGCTTTCGTGTCAAATTTTGTCAACTTTTCCACTTACGAAATTCAAGCAAGTTGAATGTGCAGTTACACAGCGAGATGATGAAATTATCGGTTAATCTTTTCAAGCGTTTTATTATTTTTTATCCGAGACAGCGATACAACTGTAATGCATTAATAAACTTTCATAGGAAAGACAACTCCGAAATTATAATAAAACCTGTAGACGATACTGCAAACACAGCTGCGGAAAACTAGCCTGTGAAGCTGTACGCTAAACTCAACTTCCAAACAAAACGAACGACGAAAAAAAAGGAAAAGAAAAGGGAATGTCCAGTCATTCTTCATGTGGCTGCACCTCTTAGTGGCTTCTCTCATTCATCATACGCGGGCGGTCGTGAGCAC